AAGGTGTCTCTGCCCATGGCAGGGGGGTTGGACTAGATGATCGGTAACGTCCCTTCCAACCCAAACCATTCTATGATTCTATGAAATAAACCTTCACTTGCCTTTACTAGAGGTCCAACAAACCTTCCCACCAGTATGCAGCATTCACTTCTACTCTATCAGGTTTAGACCTCAGTTCTTACAGAAACTGATTTTTAAATATTGAGCAAAAATAACTTTGCAGTCAAAAATAATTTCAAGAAACATGCATTAAATGGTCTCAATTCTTCTTACCTTTCTTCCCCAAAAACTAAAGGGTTTTCTAGTCTTCTGCAGCTATTTGTAATTTTCTCCCTTACCGCAAAATAGTAGAAAATAATGGAGAAACTGACAACTTAGCAAAATAATTTTCAGTTTCATGAAATACCCAAGCTCAGGTTTTGGGGGGGTTTTCCAGTTTGGAATTATCTAAGACAACTACATAAGTTTGGAATCAATAAATTGTGCCTTGCATAAAGTTAGTGTACAACAGTTTTGGCTTTCCTATATTTCAAAGTCTTCCAACGCACAGCAAGAATGTCTTCATTCACTAGGTATGACAGTATATTCTTTTATAAATGGCAAGTACATATTTTATTTTTCTGGCAGAAAAATAAAACAATACTCTTAGCTGTACCTCTCCTACGTGGTTACACACTAAGATCTAACCCAGTTACATCACACCTACTTCCCTAAAAATGGCAAGCTATGAAGAACTTTCCTTTACAGCAGCAACTAAAATCCTAACATGATTGAGTATGTAAGTCTTTACAGTCTTCACACACCCACACGACCGGCTATAGCACGCAATAACGGCTGAATTTTTTTGCGCGCAGATCAAAGACAATCCTTTGCAAAGCTACACTGCACTGTGTTAATATATATTTCTTCTACAAAAGACCCATTTTATATGGCACAGTACTTTCACCAGATGAAAATAAGCAGGTACATACTGATCTTCTGTTCCAAAAAACTTCACAAAGAAGCACTTTTTTCCACGAGGTTTCTTCAGATCTTTAGGTGGATTAACAATCTGAAGGTGATTAGAAGTGAAAATTAAAAAGCACGTAATGAAAATTTATACTGTGATTTTACTGTCATGTGTTACAGCAACTGTAGATTTATTTTTTAAAATCTGACTAGGAAGAGAACTTGAATCTGTTATAAGTCTTTCAGGAAAACGTGTAATCTTTTATTTCCTTAAACATGGGTATACTGCAGCAGAATGAAAAAGCACCCAAACTCCAATTATGCATCACTACATTCTTAGTGAGGTTTTCTTCTCCCTATACCAAACAGATCAGGTAGCAATCTTTTTTAAATTTAGAAAACCAAATGGCATTAACAAAAGTTTGTTCGACCTAGGTAACTTAAAATCTACATTTAAAGCTTTGTCTTCACTCCCAGAATAGATTGTTTACAAAGTTTAAAATATCAGTGAAGAGAAAAGCTGTCATTCAGTCATACAGGTGACACCTGAAAGACTGCAGGGGAGCCTGGACTTAACTTAATCCAATAACCAAACATTTACAGTTGTCAGCCACACTGACAACACTTTTCCCTGCTGCATGCTGTTAACTGCACATGCTTAGTCCTCATACCTACACAACAAATAAAAACAAAGTTATGTCAGAGAAGGAGAAATAATAAAAATGGCACATATAATTTATTTTCAAAAACCTTGTTGGCCTCTCATCAGAAAAAAAAAACAAACCAGAAGAGAAAGTTTAACTGCTCCCTATCCCTAGAATTATTACTCAAAAAACATAGCTCTAAAGCAGTATCTCGAGAAGCCAGACTCTTTATTTCTATTATTTAACACAGTGCATTTGACCAACTTGCTACGGGAGGAAAGAAACTTGCCTTGCAGAAAGTGATAGGGATTAAATAACTAAATCTGGGAAACACAATCGGTTCCAGAGCTGGACAAACTGCTCTCTGTTGCTCTTCACTCCATCTGAACTAACAGCTGTTAGTGACAGGCTGAACCTCCAGATCAAATAAAGCCCTAAACTGGTTCATAGTTTAGATTGGTGGGGTATATATTTAAAAAAAAAAAAAACACAACAAAAAAACCCACAACCAACGCTGTATTACTCTAACTGAAACATTTTCAGGCAAAGCTTTCTCTGTGCAGAAGGAAAAAGCAAAACCAAACAAACAAAACCCAAGAAAACAACAATAAAAACAAACCAAACCTTACCTTTCCTGGCCATGGAGGATACCTGCCCAGCTTCCCCCTAGAGAAAAAAGAAAGCATCAGGCACTAGAACCAGAGAAAAAACAATACCCCATCTCTAACTTTTTGCATTACATCCTATTTTTCATATTAATAAAGTCAAAACTTGCAGTCAAAACCTACCGTGAAAGGCAAGACACACAGCTGACTCACAAGTATTATACTGTTAGATATCTGCACCTAAACAAAGCCTCTACACCACCTGCATGAATTCGCTGGACTATAAGAATTTAAGTGAGCAGAACAGCAGCAACACAGCTACTGCCTGGAAGATACAGTGCTACAGTGCTTATGACTCTTGTAGGTCTGGATATTCCTTCACAAGGAACTGAAAGTAGCATCGATGCAGACAATCAAACCAACGTTCAGGCTGGTAACTTATATCCATCCGGACAGAACAGTCTAGCGAGCAGAGCAGCCACCGATTTCCAGCTCAGAGAGCTCAGATGCTTAGAAGTTCTCACAGGAAAGCATTAATGGCAGGATCCCCTGAACAGATGTTCCATTATCACGTTCTTCAGGCACTCACCACCACAGTAAGACATGCTAAAGATACAAGAGAGCCATAAGAAAGGCAGAAAAGTTTATTTCCTATGCTTGTAAATGTTTCCACTATGAAAATTACACAAAACTATTTCTTCACAGAGGAGGAAAAGAGACATATAGTCTTAGCCTTCAGCATAGTGGCTTTACCATTATCTTACCCTTGTTATTTACTCAGGCAGCAATACTCTCGCAAAACCTTTATCAGTCATTGTCTTGCAAGAGACTGGCAAAGAACCTGTGGAGTCTGCCAGCTCCTGAACCAAAAATTCTCAGCAAGTGGCACTGCAGCCCCTCTTGAGATGGCAATGCTATACAGACGATTCTGTAGCGATGGTCAGGCAGGAACACTGCCAAGAGCTGTAACCATGACCGCGTCTCATATTCAACGCTTCCATTCTTGTACTGAACAAGACGTTCATCAAAGCCTTTCATATAGTTCTGTCTTATAGTTCTTCTGTGATGGCTCTGGGGATAGTACCTGTCTAGGTTGTAATGCACAAAACTAAAGCAGGATAACCTGCATTCCAACACTGAGAGCAGTGCACTCCCCAAATCCTCATTTCAAAAAAAAAAAAATGCTAAAAGGAACCAATCTTTACTTACTTTGCTATATAAATTAGACAACTTCACAGCACTGTCAATTTTTCGGATGAGAAACTGCAGTTGTCACAGCCTGGAGCACACGCTTCTTTTTATCTGGGATATAAATATAAATGCATGCACTTGCGTGTTGGGGATTAGCTATTTCTTGCAAGCCCTAGCAGGACACCCTAGACTATCAAGTACAGTAGAGCCTATGCACTTAAAAATCAGCGCTTACAGGGCTCAGTGGAATCCCCTTAGTTCTCCTGATCAGGAAATACAAAATCACATCTGACTAACTTGAGTGTAAAACTAGAGTGACAAGGGGAAATGGCTTCTTCGAGCTTCAACAAGGCCATTCTAAAATGCAGAAAGAGGCTGTTGTCCCAGCTTGTCGCGTTGCTTCATTAAAGCACTGCCAAGAAAAGGTATCGCTGCCGTCTAAACTTATTTATGTCCCTTCTCACCTCCCTTGGGAGGCAAACATATTTCCAACCGAGCCCCGCAACCATCGCCCCTCTGTCCCGCGCCCCTCACCCCTCTCCGCCTCACACAGGCTCTTTTATGCGCCGCCTCCC